CTGTAGATGTCTCTGGCCATGCCAAAGTCACCAATCTTAGCCACTCTCCCTGGACCTTTGCAGGTAAGCAGACAATTCCTGGCGGCAATATCCCTGTAAATAAATAAATAAATAAATAAATAAATTTCATTCTGAATGCCAAAAATCATGAGAGAGAAACATTTACATCTCATATTGGCCATTTGTACAATAAAATGAACCAATACCTTTAAATTTAACTTTTAAAGTCTGTTTTTTTTTTTTTTTATTATTTGGATTTGCCCAATAAGATTGTTTAGCAACAGATACAATGCTTGCATGTGTGCCGATAGAGTGGGGTTGGGGGTTTTGGAGTGTCAGGGGTGAGGAGTCTGAATAACACAGCTGAGAACCAGGGGTGCGTTTTCCAAACAACAATGTAACTTATGATGGGGAATTCATTGTGTCTTGATGAATTTATTACTCTCATTTATATGCTTATTTGACTGATTTCAGTGTTATTATGTATCTATTTATCTATTGAATACCACAATGAGAGCGGATGTATGGAAGTAAGATCATAAGGGCACTTGCATTCTGTTTCATGTGCAACTCGAGATTATACACATCTGCACCCTTAGACAAGCGGCCATGCTCAGTTGCAATGAATTCAACAATATGATGACCCTAAAACTGGCCGTGAACTTCAGCTGAAGCTTACAGTTGACAGCTCAAGGTACAGAGAACAAGATATATTGCTAGAGCAACTGGCCATGGGTAGGAAGCATCTGAGAGATTTAAAATCCCATTAGTGGAGAAGCTAATGTGTTAATGTGTAAATTTGGGTGGAGCGATAAGACAAAGAAGTGTATTTAAACTGTGTGCTAGCCTACACTCATGAGACACTCGACCGACCTGTCTCTGTTGTTACTGATGCTGTAACAATAAACTGCTTTGCCTAAAGTCTTTGGAGATCTCAGACTTTGTGATGTTTTGAAAACTTTGACTTAGAAACTTAGAAATTTTGCAGACCAGAATCTTTTTTCCACAACACTCACAGCTTAACTATCATAGTACGATACATCGATTGGGAAAAGAATGATGTAGTGACGAGTGTTTCCCAAAACCTGTAGTTTCTCTGTCACAGATCCATCGTTTGAACCATGTTAGTTATAACATAAAACACCAGTAATGATGCTCTGAACGGGGTGGTAACAACTTCTTTTGAAAAGAACACCGTCATTTCTTTGTGCAAATTAGGCACACACATGTAAAACAATTCCAATATTAGTTTTGGTAAAAACATGCTCTCGCATTCCATATTAATTGAAATATATATAAACGGTTCATAGTGGGTCAGTCCAATGTTTCCTTTACAAATATTATTAAGAACATTACATATTCTATTCTAAAACATACAATCACTTACAAAAGCTAACATTGTGTTCTAATATCTAAATATGTATATATTCACACATATAAATCAAATAAATAAATAATGAGGCAATTTATTAAGAAATTATATTTAGCCAGACTATCAGGCTGATGAACACTGAACACACCTCACACAGACTCTTCCACACCCCTCACTGCAGAACATCAATATGTAGCATGCACTGCACTTTAACCAATCCATACTTGAAACAATACTGCCTACAACTATGGGTACACCTATTTAATGTATAAATAGCTGTCAATTTTACATAGTCTTGTGTCTTGTTGTGGTTTTTTTTTTTTTTTTGTTTCTTTTTGAGGAGTATGCTGTTGTATTTGCACGGTATGTATTTTGCACTGTCATTTTATTTGCACTGTCTGTATTTTGCACTGTTGTCGTATTTGTATTTTATACTGTCTGGAGCCAGCACCTAAGCTTTTCACTCATCATAGCACACGTGCTGCTGATGATGTGACAATAAAAGTGATTTGATTTGACAGTTATTATTTATTAGGAAACCAAAAAAAAAAAATCATACTTTAATAATAATATTAATGATGAAGTTGATAATTATTATTATTAAGTAGGATAATGTTTCTTTTTTGTTTTTTGAAAAGTTTACTTTTACAATTTGACACACAAACCACTGGAGAAATGTTTTAACCAGTAGGCCGATGTCAGTACAGATACTTAATAAATAATCTTCTATAAATTAAAAGCATTAACATATGCTATATAGTTTTGATTTCACAAACCTTTTAGACATAACATAATTTCTGTTTTTGAATAATAGGTCACCTATAGCTTTCGTCATGAGCCATAGCTGTGTTCAAAATGACATAAGTGTGTTCAAAGTGCACTGTCAAGGGAGCAAAATTCTAAATGTAGATTGTTTACTGAACTGTAAACATACTTTGAAAGCAAACTACACCTAAGAGTGGTGACTTGAAGAGTGAATGCTTTTTTTTTAATCATTCCAAGTTTAAATTGTAGAATGTTAGAATGAATAGGGCATAGGGGGGATAACTGTGAACAGCACGCAGCCAGGAACTATGTTTCTAACTATAGCTCCAGAGGTGTAATTGCAAGTGCACAAGTTTGCGAATGTTTGTTTGATCGATGGATTTGGGAAACGGCAAATCAATAAATTATGTTTGAAACAACGCAACTTGCGACCTTAGTTGGCTAACAATGGTTTTCAGAAATACACTCTAGGTAAGTAACAGTACTATGCACCAACATACTGGTGTTACAGACTGCACCAAAAAGCTGAGGACCGGGTGGTGGATGAGTGTTGTTGTGGGGAGGTGGGTGAAATTATGGGAGTAGAAAATAACATCAGGCCAGGAGAAATAACAAAACCTGAGGGTGGCTGGAGTATGTCTGAAATATGGGAGACATCTCCTTTTCATAATTGGCTTCATCACTCTGTCTCCTTTCCACAAATTAACTGGTGTGTGGTGTGCGGTTTGATGCAAATTGGCTGCCATTGCATCATCCAGGTGGATGCTGCACACTGGTGGTGGATGAAGAGATTCCCCCTAAAACATGTGTAAAGTACTTTGGGTGTCCAGAAAAGTGCTATATTAAGTTGTAAGGAATTATTAATTATTATTATGACAATATTGAAGAAAAAAAAAAAACATTTTCGTCATCAACATTATGGACTTTCCAATTTGCCACCCCCATATACATTTTTTTTTTTTTTCTAAATAAGTGTCTTTCCTCTTGAAGATAGATATAGGTTCAACAAGTTGAATGTTATACTGGTCCTTTTTAATAATATTTGTTATGCATATTTAATTATTAGCTATTGTCTGCTGATGTCCACTACATATAATTAAGAGACATTTGCATCATTATGAGACCCTGTTCACACATATTTATAGAGCATGCACAATGAATGACACTCATCTAAAGAACTAGCGAAGCAATAAAGATAGAAAGCTGCAATTATAAACAATGAAGCTGTCAAAACTATAGGTGCACAGTTAAGTACAAATTATGTCCTTATCATAGTCTACCCTATAATGGGAACCTATCTATAGATATACACTTGTCAAACTTTTAAGTGGATCAGGTCAACAAAACACATTAGTTGGATTTGTTCTGTCTCTTCTTTCATAATTATCTGACAACACTGTATATGATAAATACATGTTGCTGTAAATATATTCCTGTCATAATATAAGGTTTAAAATGTTTTCAAGTCTCTCAAATGCCTTGTGTCTTGTTTTTAGTTTCAGGGAACATACACGTCAGAGTATTCTAAATTTGAATCATTTTTGTATGACCAATAGAGCCTTGAGGCCTTGATGAATTGCATTAGTACCCTGCTGTCTTGATGTCCATGAGACTCAGCTTTACAGATCTAATGTACTGGTTTACATGCAATTTCATTGCTGTCTCTTTACATTGACATGCTTAACAGCTCAACAAAAAGTTGAACTTGAGCGTTTCCTATGTGTTTTTGACAGAGTTTTGTGTATTTAATACACAGTGCTCTATCTGACAGCCAGGTGTCTGTGGGTAAACACTGTTTGTTGTAAAATCAGGAGATTGTATGTATGAGGAAGTTTTTTTTTATATTTAATTTATTTTTTTATTTTAGTAAAATTGTGGGTTCCACTTTATATCAAATTGCCTTAATTACTATGTATACTATTATAATCGTGTATATATATATATTTTTTTGTTTTTACACTGAACAAATATTTTTATTACATCTGTAATTAATTCTGTAATTACATTTATAATTACACCTTTGACCCTTCCCTTACTTTAACCCAAACTTAAATTTACCCACAGACCTGTCCCTAACCTTACCCGTACAGTATCTCACTTCAAGAGCACCAGAAGTGTTCTGCAATACAATACAAACACAATGAGTACACTGTACTTACTTTCTAATGTAAGTACATAGTAAAGCAGCTTAATATTAAGTGTGACCAAATTTCAAGTGTGACTCAACAAGTGTGACCAAATTTTGTTAATAAATTGCACATCAAATATGATGCTAGAGAAGCAATTTATTTGACTGTGATTCAAATGGGCGATGCAGTGGCAGAGTGGGTAGTATTGTTGCCTCACAGCAAAAACGTCCGTAGTGTATGTGTGTGAATGAGTGTGTATGGATGAGTGTGTATGGAGTGTGTATGGATGTTTCCTAGTGATAGGTTGCAGCTAGTAGTGCATCTGCTGCATAAAACATGCTGGATAAGTTGGCGGTTCATTCCGCTGTTGCGACCCCTGATTAATAAAGGGACTAAGCCGAAAAGAAAAAAGAAATGTAATTCAAATGGTGTGGACATATTCCGTTCATGTTTAGACTCAGATATATAATAATATGTCATATAACCTATAAATACTGTAAATGTAATGCATGTGAATGAAAATTTGTAATTGTAAAATCAGACTTATGATTCAGGCTTCTCCCTAATAATTAAAACATATACAATACAAAAAAGTTCTTGAATCTGATTGGCTCGTAGTCTTGCAATATTCTGCAGATAACAGCACTTGTCCAGCCTCTTCATCCTAGTATTGCAAATTGCAAATATTGCAGCTGTTGGACAACATAATGTTCTTTTGAGACTTTGTTTAGGTGCAGAGCAAAGATGATTGACGCTGTCCATCAACAAGACAGCAACAGAGACCGCATAATGAGCCCTCAGAAAAGAAAAAAAAAATGGGTTTTTTTTTAACTACAGCTGATCAAATCATTATTAAACAGGTATGTGACAATCTAAGTTGATCTTTTTTTTGCATGTTGTAGTGCTGTTTTTATACCTTACAATTGTAGGGTATTGGGTATGAAATGAAACTTGCATATCAGGATTGTATCTACTTTGTGTTGGCCACTCTTTGTAAAACCCTGAGTTACCTTTTTGTTTGGCCATCTGTTTGTTTTTTTTAATGCGTCCCCTGTTTTCATTACCACAGACTAGTTCAGTAAAAAAAAGAAAGAAGAAATGCCTGCATGTGTTTAGCGTTTTACCTTATCACAACCACAACAGTAATCTGGTAATGATTGTGCTGCTTTGGCTTTTTCAGGGACAATTATTGTTATTTTCCAATTGCAACAGTGAAATACTGGGAAATCTCTGTAGACTGATGGCATGTCATGCTGTTCAGCCTTATAACCTTAACATGTCAGCAAAACCACCTTTTCACTTTAGATTTTTACGTAAGAGAATCATTCAAATTCTACCTCTAAAGTGGTGAAGTAGCATTGGTTTCTGCTGTTCTGACGGTCAGCTGCAGATGATAATGAATGGCGGAAGAAAGTAGTTCCTTTTACAAAAGGCTTTTAGACTCTCGTGTTTGATTGTCTTTTTTATATACATGATTATGCTGTCGAACTGTTGTATAAATGCAATATCACACTCGAAGCAGTGCGATAGGGCTGTATATCCTCACTAGTGGGACACTAAGGCACTTGGCCTGTGGCCTTGTGCCAACACATGCAAAAGAGTCTGGCTGCAGATTTGCACTTGCACTTTCAGGCTTGCACTCTCGGACTTGGACGCTCAGGCAACCGTACTTCCTCTGCAAGTGGTGTCATTTACAATAGCTACCTGTGGCCACTTGCATGAAAATAATTTGTATGTTTCAGTAGTTTGGAGTTTGGAGCTGGGAGTTATTAATGCTATATATCTTAGATTTTATTTGCATAAAAAAAAAAAAAAAAAAAAACTTTAAGTCAGGATTTGCCAGTGATATAAATCATTTTGGACTTGATTCATATATATATTGGGAATATTTGGGAAGTTGTGAGAATATATAATGAGTCACTTATTTGTTCAGTGTATGAGTCAAGTGTTTTAGTTTGCTATATTTTTTGTCAGCAAAGTTTTGCTTGAGACTGTTAGTAGCAATACATAATTAAGATATTGCTTGAGCACATCAAGAAAATATTCCACCTGGAATTATCTGCTCCATAAACTCAATAAAAACAAACATAAACAAAAACCTGCACAGGTTCCAACCATCCTGCTTAAGTTTGTGGCCAATTAAGCTACAGACAAGTGTTCGGTTATAAAGGTAGTACTGTAAATAATCCTGATCTTTGATGATATTGATGTTTAGTTAGGTCAGGATATCAGACTTCCAAGCATTTGTAGAGCTACCTGAAGGGCTTTGGTCTTGCACACCCTGCATCTGACAGAAATGGATTATGCCTTTTTCATGCTTAAAAAAATTCCCAGAAAAGGCGAAACTTTAAGTCCCTCTGGAGTTTGAGCAGAAAGTTGAGAACGAAAACGCAGGCCCAGATACATTTTAACTTGACCGAGTGAGAGAGTTCAGTAGGAGAGCGCAGATGGGTAAGTGTCTCAGCGTCCCTGTTCTATAGCTGGATTGATGACCGGACTGTTCATGTAGCATAAATGAGCTCTAAGTGGACTCATTTTTCATGCCATTCTGGATGAGAGTGTCAAGAGGATGTAGAACTCCCATCGCAGGTACGAGAGGGAAGCAAGACTCCTGGAGTCTACGAGTTTGAATTTGTGCTGACTTCAGAAAAAGCAAGATCGTCCATCTGTTGTTAAATTGATCTGGAATGGGTAATTATACCTGTGGATGAACTGGTTTTCTTCTAGGTACTGGCAGCCGCGGGCAATGTCTCTGGCTATGTTGAGAAGATCTACCATAGTTAGACTGGAAGGGTGTTCCTGGGAAATATTACATAGACACAGAATTATGGGTATACCAGTACAAGTACATTTCTGTAATATATAATAGACAGAAATCTAAAAAAATAAAGATTTTTTTTAAACACGTACTTACTTATTATGTACAAAATTACAGTGTATAATGTTTAAAATATTAATATAACTACAATAATGTTTAATGTAATACCAAATAGCACACTTGAGTTAAACATTTAATGCATTTTAAATGTTCTTCAGCATATATATTCAGTCAATACAAAGGATTATTAAAATATGATCGTTTTCGATATATTTTTGGTCACACTTTATTTATTTGGTCACTTTTTTTTTTTTTATTTAACATATTATTTTGTGTTTAACAGATAAAAAACAACAAAAATACTTAATTTTTTTTTTCCGAACAAATAAAAGGTGACTAAATGATGGCAAATTTCTGGGAAAACTTTCCCTTTAACATAAAATGATGGCTTAAGCAGTTAACAATGTTTATGCAATGCTAGAAACTGCTGCGAGCATTTTGTGACTGGTCTGTGTGTTCTTACAAGTCTGGGTCTAGTTTCCCTCAGGAAGCTCTTCAGATCCCCTCCGGCCATCAGTTCCAGCAGAATGAAGTGAGGCAGAGCCTGGAGACTTACACCAATGCATCGCACAATGTTTTGGTGACTGAACTTGCTGTCAGAAGAAAAGAAAGAGAAATGTGGTCCTTTCGTGTCCAGGTAAATAAGTATGAGGAATTGTGTGCTTTAAGTAACTACTTTTACTTTTGAATTTTTACCTGATTATTAGAGCTTCCATCAAAAAGTCCAGTTCGTCCTGCTCAGAGCACACCTCAGGAAGGGTCTAATCAAATAATAATTTGACAATCAAATTCATGCATACTATTAATGACTAAGACAATCAATCAACAAACCAACCAACCAGCCACTTACTCAACCACACAACCAACCAACCACTCAATGAAACAAACAACCACTCACTCAACCAACCACCTACCCACACACTCAACCAACCAACCAACCAACCAACCAACCAACCAACCAACCAACAAATATTTTAACCACTAACTCATCTACTCACCTAAACAACCGCTCACTCAACTAACTAACCAACCAACCACTCACTCACTCACTCACTCACTCAATCGCTCGCTCGCTCACTCACTCACTCACTCGCTCACTCACTCACTCACTCACTCACTCACTCACTCACTCACACAGCCACCCACCCACCCAACCAACTGTTCAACCAACCACACACTTAACTACTCACTCAACCAACCAACCACTGACTTAACTCAACCAACCACCGACACACTCGCTCAACCCAAACCAAGCAACCAACCACCCACACACCCACCCAACCAACCATTCAACCAACCACTCACTTAACTACTCACTCAACAAACCAACCACTGACTTAACCACTAACTCAACCCAAACCAACCACTTACTTAACAAATAAATAACTCACTTAGCCACTCATTTAACCAACCACTGATCAATCAATCAATCAATCAATCAATCAATCAATCAATCAATCAATCAATCAATCAATCAATCTATCTATCTATCTATCTATCTATCTATCTATCTATCTATCTATCTATCTATCTATCTATCTATCTATCTATCTATCTATCTATCTATCTATCTATCTATCTATCTAAGGCAGATGCATCTTTTCACACTTTTGAACAGTTATTTCTAAATGTATTAATATTATTTAAGTACATATGTATGTATACCAGTGATAATTGCTTTCGAAGCACTGCTTCACAAAAGCGAATCATTTGTTTCGAATCAGTGGTTTGAAACACATATCAAATTGTGAAGGTCATATTTCAGTAAACAGGACTTGGTTACAACACTTCTGTTTTAAAAATGTCATGTTTTTCCATTAAGGGGGCAATCTGTGTAATACCATGAAATCCACATGTGTTGGATTTCATAATGTTTAAGTGATCTCAGATCAGCTTTACCAGCTTGAAGATATTTTAAATTAAGTTGTCTTAAAACAAACTTTAGGAATTGTGATTCAACTCATTTTGAATAATAGTTTGACCGGCAGATACATGTTTATTACTTAAAAAATATTGTATATTCAGTGTAGATAAGTATAAAAAAAATCAATGAAAAAAAAAAACATATATATTTTGAGGATTAATTAGCCAATCTTACCTTTACAGCAACCTGCATGGGACTGGGTTCTCCTGGTATCCCAACAGCCAGTCCTTCATAGACCTCCCCAAATGCCCCATGCCCCAATCCTCTACAAATCAAACATTCATTAACAGTATTGTTAAAATTGGAAGATTAGTTCCACTTATTCAAAGCATCAGACTGCTCCTGACCTGGTAAGAGATATGTTACGTCGCGGGACCTCTTTCAGATCATTGACAGAGGCTGTTTTTCCACCAAAGCAGTAGTTGGGATTGTAGTCGGTCATGATGGTGGAGGCTCTCAGTTTGCTCAACTTACAGTCAGGACTCTGAAGCTCCAACTGAATCGACTGGAGCTCGGTGTGTTTACGTCTGTACACTGGACAATAATCAGCACAGCATATATCAGGCGATTTCACAATGGAGTGGTTCAAAGTCAAAAGCAATGTGGCTATAACCAACAATTTCTATGGAACTTGTACACATTTAAGGAGTAGATTTCAAGTTCCACTTGTAGTTTTAATAGTGGTTTTGTTTGCTTAAAAAGGTATTTAAAGTAGTAAGTAAACCCATTGCCCTTAAAGTGATTAGTTCATTTTACTTTAAAAATAATGAAATATTTACCTTGTTGAGTAAAGTAATGTGTGCATACTTACAAACATTAACAGGTTCAAGTAAAGTCAAATTGTTGCTGTTGAGTCAAAGTCTATTCATTTCATTTAGTTAATCTTTATTTCTATTGTGCTTCTACAATGCAAATTGTATCAAAGCAGCTTAACATAGAGGAAGCAAAGAGTATAGTAATTGCATAAATATTTATTTAATATTATACAAAATACATAGACAGTACATTGTATATAATAGTTAATCATAGCTTTAAGAGCCTTTATTCTGGGTTTTTGAAAATGACGTTCCATGCAGTGTGTAACACAAGCAAAATATCCAGCTCTCATTTAAATTTAAAAGTGCACTGTGTTTAAAACTGTTGATTCATCTATAAAAGAGTCGACTCATAGTAGTTCAAATGAATCGCCGCTGTAATGAGTCTTTAACCGTCCCAGCACGACGTTGATACGAAACTCAAGCCCCACACATTTGTTTCCCGTGCATACCCAGAAAAATTCAAACCACCCCCGGCCTCGCCCACAAACACAGTAAAAAGAACTGTGCTCTGAAGTGAGAGGGAAAGTTAGTGTTAGTTTCCCCACCCAAAGATAGGCTGTGAAGGCTGTGAAGACTCAGTGGTTAAAGTTTATTTTTGCAAAAACACCTCAGCATTATAGCCCCGGCCTTGTGCTGTGTTCCCCTCATTTTTCTGACGAGTGTTTCAGCAATCTACATGCTTACAACAGGGTATTTGTTGGTCATTTATTAAAGAAAGGATCAGAAAACTGTAACAAGGTAGTTTAGGTGAGGATTGAACCCGGGTCTCCCAAAACTGGGGATATTCCCAGCTGAAATATCTTCTCAACAGATAACCCCCATAGCAGAAAATTAATTACGAAACTCGAGGCTTTCGTTTCAGAAAAAAATCTAACAAATTATCTTTACAACAGTAAACAACAGAAAATGAAGTGAAATGACTGAAGTCGTGCTTCTAGTAAACAGGCAAAAAAACAATAAATAAATAAAAAATACAGACACGAGTCAAAATCCACACTATAGAGTTTCACTAGCTAGTTGCACGAAAACGTACATACGACAAAACACAGGTATTGTTAATATGGCTTAAGTGGTGGCTCACAGCAGATGGCAGGACAGTGATGCCATCCACTGTTCTGGAGGGTGCATAGAAGTTGGTCTCTGTTGTGTGAAAAGTCAGAGGAGCACCTTCTTTTGGTTAGGATGAGAAATGCAGCTTAAGAATGAATTCTTACAAAAAGACTTTTGATGAATGGGATTTTTGTCTGAGCTTGACAGGAATTTTACAGTACACAGATCATAGATCGGTTTCTTTCTCCATTTCACAAGTGTAAGGGGCCGATCACTCCGAATGCGCGTAACGTTCCAAAAACGCAAAGCGCACCTCACTTTCTTTTTTGTTGACAAGAAAAAAAGAAGCAATGTGGACTTTTTATGTTGCTAGGCAACAACTGAATCAGCTGGGTATTTTGCGAGAGTGTTGCTGTTGATATAAATATAACTTTAATATCAAATAATATTGTGATATTCAAGATTTGTGAAGTCATACAGAGTTGACTTTATTCAACTGTAAGCGCACGGCGAGCAATGGCATGAAAAACAAGGATGCTTAAGCAGCACGCAAAACGCTAGCCTCCATAAGTAAACCATTTAAAATAGGCGCCTCTCAACGCATCAAGCTTGTTTGGGGTGATCGGCCCCTAAGTAAGTGTAATTAAAATAGTTGCCTCCTTGTTTTCTCTATTTTGCTAATTATGTATTCAATTGTGTTTCATTACTTGTTACCGCTTCTGGTTAACTTTTTATATTCTCATATCGCATCTAAAGCCAGGTTGAAAACGTGACACATGTCGCTTTGTTCACGGATTTAAACACGATAGTCCACTGCCGTTTGACGTTGCTATGGCCACCGTCCTACACATGTTCGGCGGTCAGGTTTCAAAATATTTCAGCTTTTGCCACTGTGTGGATTTATACTGAATGTGTGTCACTGTTTTTACTCATGGTCAGGGCCGGAGTGGGACTCCTTTTCAGCCCTGGAGTTTCAAGCCTTAGACTGGCCCATCTCAGTTAACAACTGACTATTAAAATAAGATCATTTCTAATTTAGTTTCTAAGGACACTGTCACATCTTTTTTCAAGAAAACAACTGCTTTAGAACTTCAAATTTTCAACAACCCTAACAGTATTATATGTCTTAACAATAAAAAATGACAAAACTAAAAAAAAAAATTTTTCAAATGAGGTTCGAACACAGGTCAGCCGCATCATAGTTTAACATGCTGACCACTGGACCACAGTGGCACTGTTAATTTGATGTGACTGGAATGAAAAACAAATAGATTTATTAATGTAGTGAATCATCTGATTTTCATTGAGCAGGTGTATTATTAATCAATATTAATTATTCGAATTCTTACATTCACTAAGGTGCCGCTGTTTTGAGTCGAATGATGATAGTTACATCATTAATAATCTGCAGGCTGCATTTTGTTTACGGGGCTGCGAGAAAAAAAATAAAAAGAGCGGAGCTGCGGCAAAATAATGAATAAAAAGAGTGAGGCTATGGTCAAATAAATAAATAATTGAAAAAAAGTGCAACTGCTGAGAGTGCAAGCAGCTAAGGACACCGGCCCTTGTGACCAAAAAATGGACTGGCCCACCGGGAATTCTCCCGGTTTTCCCGATTAGCCTATCCGGGCCTGCTCATGATTAAGATTCGAGCAATATACTGGTGTTTAACTGCACTGCTTTATTGCACTCCTGCATTGGGCTCACAATATACTCTGCACTCTGACTACTTGTTGATAAGCCATGCTGGGCATTTGTCTTTGTCTCACGCTGAACACAGTCGACCTGATTAGCATCGTGCTAAAGAGGGGTTGGGGAACAAATGAACCACTGATTGAATCATATGAGAGTTGTTGGAATAATTAGGTAAAAATAAATTCATATTATAATACAATGAACGTGTTTTTTGACCATGTAAGCATATCCGACTGTTGTTGGAGACCCCCAAAACCAAAATATGACTTTTTAGGATTAGCCAATCCGGGCCTACATTATTGTATATTAATATTTATGGACTGTTTAATAAATTATTATGTACTGTTACATTTCTGTTCTTGAGTTTTATTTGAGGGCTAATTTTGAGCCTAATTAATGAATAAATCAATATTTTCTCTGAGATTTTAATAGTTTAAATATAAGCAACTAAATAACTATGGAGTATATTATTGCAAATGAAATGGGCAAATCTGAAATGTCACACCCACAAACAGTATTCAAGAAAAGCATGCATTGCAAAGTTTGGTGGGCTTGACCCAAACAGTAAACACATTAGTGCAGCTTGTGGAAGTGATTTATTCGTAAAGCGGTAATCGACAAGCCTTGTCAGAGTCCAGCTAACAGCCCATTTATCATGCGTCTTTTCTATTTATCACTCAGAGGCTACTACTATACTGTAGATGGACAGATGATGTGTTAAATGTGAAGGCTCTCTCCCTCTTTCTCTGCCTCAATTTCTGTGTGTGTGTGCAAACCTTGAATTAATGAATTGTAAATACAAGATACAAACACATGATGCATGCAGTCCATTTAGAATCTTTACTGCATTGTTTTTTTTTAAGGTGTAACAGTTCCAATTCATCCTGAATATTATTTAAAATAATAATAAAAATTTAAATTTTATTAATTTGAACAATTTTGTAGTCTTTTTTCTGTATTATTACTAAACTATATGGTCTGTGTCAGAGATTAATTTATAAATAGATAATTGTAAACAGGAAATAAAAGTTACCGTGATCAATGTCCGTCACACAATTTTTAATTTTTCCGAAAAATGATTTTACTAAGCCGTTAATCTAAATTTTTGATCCGTCTTTAGCTGTTTTGTGCATTATCCACTTGACGTAACGTATAGAATACCAACGCAATCTCACGGCAATTCATAACATTTTGATTTAGTGGCTAATTTGTATGAATTTATACGATCTAATTCGTATAACTTACTTCGATTTGCTCATCACCCAATGACGATTGGGGATAGGGGTGGGGCTGGGTGCCACGCCTCCTTTTTAAAATCATATAATTTTGAATGACTGAACTTGTACGAATTTGTATAAATTAGTTACTAAACTAACAAAACGTAAAATACTTTTGTTTTCTCGTGAGATCAGGCTGGGAATATTGTTTCCGGGTATATTTGAATTGATAAAATATTTATTTTTGTTTATGGACACTTTTTAGTCATATCACAGATGAAAGTAAATTTTGTAAAATGTCATAGTGTGCACAACAGTCTCTGGACTTGCTGCATTACAAATACCAACATTTTTATAACTTATTTAAAAAAATAATCACTCTCTGGCCATCGGATTTTAGGCATAAGTATTTACATTGCGAAAGTGATTTTCGAAAAATTATTATTATTATTTTTTATTATTTAATGAGTCTCCTCATACAGTTTGATAGAGCGCTTGGACCTGGAAGCCGCTTTGTGTGATGTCACACTTAACAAATGGATACCGTTATGGGTCAACAAACATAAATCGTATGAAACATCAATATCCAGCTTACTAACATCACTGACATTCAGTTCACTATTATGTGCCAAGTGAAAATGACACAGTCTAATCTTCTAGAAGAGCACAGAGTTACCTCTTCTGTCATGTTTTCTGGCTGACTTGAGATAATTTTGTTTTCTGCTTTCCTGCTCCAGCGGAGCAGTTTCATCTTCTCTTAATCAGGCTCAATTTCAGATTTACTTGTGGATTTAAAAAAAATATATATATGCTTGACTGTCTCTGGCATTTTTTAAAATACAAATATTATTTAGGCAGGCCACTATGTCGTTATTTATTTTCGCTACTCACTGCGCACAAAGCCATAATCACCAAACAATGAGAGCGATTGTACAGTAAACGTAAGAAAGCTGATTGGTCGAGGTGATGACCTTTATGTGTATGCGCTGTTAATAACTCGGACTTATTCACACACACACTTATTTACCAAGCAAAAGTTAACACCGGATCAGTTAAACTAAATACTGGAACACAAAATACGACTCTCTAACATTTCCCAGAACAGGATCTGGCAAGATCCGGCTCAAATTTAGCACTGGTCTGTGTGTCATATGTGAAAGATATGATTACGATACTTTCTTTTTAAAGATGAAACAATCCCAATTCATAGTGAATATTATTTAAAATAACAAAACGTGCACTTATTTAACTTTTTTTTTTATTTTTATTTTTTTATAAACAACAACATATAGCTGACAAAAGTGTTGTCACCTATCCAAGTTTTAGGAACAACAAATAATAACGACTTCTAGTTGATCATTTGGTATCAGAAGTGGCTTATATGAAAGGCAAAGGCCTCAAGATAATGCTTATTTTATCAAAATAAAATAGGATCTTGCCTTGATTTTTAATTATTTAATTAGCACAGTAAGGTCTGACTTTGCTTAAACAAAAGTCTTGTCACTTAACAGAAATAATGTACATTATAGAATATGAAATCATTGTGTAGTGGACAAAGAATTAATTTTTATGTGAGAATCTTGAGTCCATGCAGTGACCAATAGGTCTTCTGCAGTATTTGTGATGATTGGCATGCTGTTGATTCTACTGAAAAATCTACCTTCTGCCACATTTCTAAATGATCAACTAAAAGTCAAGTTAATATGTGTTGCTCTTTCAACTGGGATCGACGACAAGACTTTTGTCAGGTCGTGTATTGTTCTGTTATCTTCCTCAAACTATTTGCCTGCTAGACTCATGTTTTGGTTAGCCTCTTAGACACTTTGACACTATTCTCACAAATAGGATTTGACGTAGTCTACTTACTGATCATAACACCAGAAACGGCCAATAGCAAGGCAGCGATGAGCGCAGAGGTCCCTACAGAGAGACCCAGTGCCAGATGAGACAAAGACGGCTGTGCCGGCAGCAGAGGCAACTCTGTAACAAACACACAGTGACAAATACAAAGAATTAAGGAGAAATTTTTGTATTTGTGCTTAACTCTGGTATATCTTTAACTGTGTTTAAGTGTCTTGAAGGGACAGATCAGGATTTAAACCCAGAACCCATTGCATGCTGAAGAAAATAACCTTAACCATGTATTACAGTAACACTATATTTGAGGTGTTTGTATGGTCATTGGTCATATTTTGTCATCAGCCAAAATGGAGAACAAAATAAAACAAAGCAGTTTTAAAAACTTTAGTTGCAACAAGAACAATTAACAATTAACCCATTTCAAATATAAGTTATAAATACTTTCACTGACTACCCTCCATGAGTTTTTTTTAAAGTGAACAATATTTAGAACACATACGTTTGATACTAGAGCTATCAGAATTCTGTTACTACTAGAATTACCATATTACGTATTATACGAGAATAATATGACTATTGTCACATCATATTTACGTGCAAAGCTTTTATTGAGATATTAAAATTAAGCTTTAAGTGTCTGTTGTCATATTTAATCAAGTCATCACCCTAAAAATACAATCTTTTTGGTAATACAGACTATAAATGTGTAGTAAGTCTACGTTAGACCACCCAGGTATGTCTGTTCCTCTATGGTAGTTGTATGTAAAAAATAATTAGAACTCTTTTGTGTTTTGTAATTTAAAAGAAAAAATAACAAGCAGGAAATATACACATATGTAGTAAAAGTCAAGGAATTAAATATATATATATATATATATATATATATATATATATATATATATGTGTGTGTGTGTGTGTGTGTGTGTGTGTGTGTGTGTTGGTGTTTAGCAAAGTTATTTAATTGCAAAATGTAAATTTTTTCTCAGTTTCAGAACTGCAGACTTGATCTTAACATATATCTTTTTATTTTTCCCCTTTTCTACAAACATTGACACGCATCACAATTATATTGTGAAATATCTGATATTCTGATTCTGAACATGAATCAGAATATATATATATATTCTGATAGTCTACAGAAAAAAACATTGTTATACAATAACTTGCCTAATTACCCTAACCTGCCTAGTTAACCCAATTAACCTAGCTAAGCATTTAAATATCACTTTAAGCTTAATGCTAGTGTCTTGAAAAATATCTAGTAAAATATAATTTACTGTCATCATGGCAAAGCAAAAATAAATTAGTTATTAAAGATGACTTATTAAAACTATCGTGTTTAGAAATTTGTTGGTAAAACCTTCAGAAATTGGGGTAAAAATAAACGGGGTAATAATTCAGGGGGCTATAATTCTGACTTCAACTGTTTATATCTAAAAATACACTTCAAGTGCACAGTTAAAGAACACTTATTTTTTCTTCGAACAAACATTCAAGGACAGATAGAATCTGCACATTTTTTTACTGAACAGATGCATAAACATTCTAAATTAAGGACAATTCAGTTGCTGACAGAGATGTGCAGCAGTTTAGTCTTTCTCCCCCCTCACTCTCTCTTTCCCCCTCTCTAGAAACTGAGCTACAGTTCACAATGATGACCTCTGTCAGACAGACTGTAAATGGTAAAGAACTGAGCTGGATTTCACCGAGGTAAGTGCCGCTCTTGAGAAAGAGCTTTGTCATTTTGAGAACACTCTTCCCAGACATTCATTTTGCCATTTTATGAGACAGTCGTTCTCCTAATGGCAGTGTGTGAAGTGTGTTATGAACAAACTAACCGGTGGAGTTGATGCAGGACACTCCGTCTGGGGCCAGCGTGAGCTCTTCATCACAGTAACACACCATGCCCTCAGAGGTCTCGTGGCAATCTCCTGACTCACAGTGACTGCAGTTCTGCACTGGGTTGATAATAACTTCACCGTTGCCTTCCATGCCTGGGAACAACATCACCATAAAACAAGTGGCATAGTAGTAAAGCTTATGACTTATAATTAAAGGGTTATTGGTTGTTAATCTCCACAATGGTATTGAGTATAATGATTGGACCCTTAAGCAAGGCACCTTTAATCCAGCGTTTAAGTGTTTCTACGAGGGTTGTTCTTATAGAGTCTATGTTTGAGCATCTTCTAAACGACTATTTAAGTTTGAACTATACCTGATGCTTATGTTAATAGATAAGATGTTGGGTGATTGTGAGTCCTCCTGTGCTCCACTAGCTTATGGAGTTCCACAGGGTTCTATTCTGGGCCCTATATTGTTCCCTCTATATCTGCTTCCACTTGGTTCGATTCTCAGGAGACACGGCATCTCCTTTCACTGTTACGCCGATGACTGTCAAATTTATGCTCCCCTTAAAAGTACAGATGACCTTCCTCTAAATGCACTGGACTCATGTTCAAAGGACATTTCCAGTCTTGGTTGGAACTAAATTGTCTCCATTTTAATGATTCTAAGACCGAAGTGATGGTGTTTGGTCCCAGTTCCAACGTCGCTCATTCTATACACCTAAATAATCTCGAAACTGTTTGTAAACCAGAGATTGTGAACTTGGGTTTTAAAATGGATCCTGAATTAAAGCTTGAAAGCCAGATTCGGTCTGTTGTTTGCTCTAGCTTCTTTCACTTACGAAAACTGGCCAAAATTAAGCACGTTTTATCGCACAAGCACTTTAAAACAGTAATCCATGCTTTTACAACCTCCCGCTTGGACTACTGCAATGCCCTTTATTTTGGGGTGAGTCAGTCTTCGATCTGTCGACTGTAATTGGTTCAGAATGCAGCTCCACGTCTTTTAACTGGCACACGCAAATACGAGCACATCACCCCGATTTTATCTTCTCTTTACTGGCTGCCCGTGCACTTCAGGATTCATTTTAAGTTACTTTTATTTGTTTTTATGTGTCTAAATGGTACTGCACCCCTTTACCTCTCTGAGCTTCACTATCCCTACACACCTTCTCGTTCGCTCAGGTCAGCCGACCAGCTCCTCTTGGGTGTGCCCAGGACCAGTCGAAAGCTCAGAGGGGATCGGGCTTTTGCTGTGGCTGCACCAAAATTGTGGAATGAGCTGCCGTTGTACATTAGACAAGCCTCTTCCATTACAGTTTTTAAATCTCTTCTTAAAACCCACTTGTTCAATTTGGCTTTTAGCACAGCTTGAGATATTGACATTTAATGTTTATTTATTTGTATTTTAAAGTTTGTTTTACTCCTTGTTGTCTGCACTTTGGTCAACTGTGTTGTTTTACAGTGCTTTATAAATAAATTGAATTGAATGTATGTTATGTAATATTTTATGTTAAATCCTTGGCCAAAGGCTATTTTTGGGGGGATCCAATCATATTTTTAATATATTTATTGGTCATATTTTATTATTGTTAGCAGTCTTAAAAATTGTAGTTTGTGATATGTGTATAGGAACATGTATTTTGTCATTCAAACAGATTAAAAATGACTGCAGTAAGTGACCAATTGACCCTTTGCTAAGCCACACACAAAAACCGCCACACACCAATCCTGGCTAAGCAACCGTAGCTACGCGCAGGAGGTCTGTCAAGCTTTCCAGCGAGGGAAACAAGCCAAAGCTTTGTGCATTATATCCTAAAAGTTTGGATGGGATGGTGGAATTTTTTTCCTTTTCCAAAAACCTAAAACCCAAGGGGAGAAATGCCAGCTTGGATCAAGCTGTGTGAGGGGCTGTAAAAGCAGCGCAATCCAGTCATTTTCCATCTGTTTCAAGCTGTGAATATTTGGATTTCATATCAACAGAACAAAGCAGAGATATGACCACAAACTGAGCACTTGCGTTCAATATACTTCACCTGCAGCTGTTTTTCAGTCATTTGTGTATTTAATCTCAGTTATGCCTATGTCAGAGCTACAATTCAATAAATTAATCAGTCTTTTGGAGATTTAGTCATTGGTGACGATTTTATAGCAGGTTAGTGTCTGCTTTTATATTTGGTGTCGGATTAATATTTGCTGGTAGGGAAAATCTGTTTGTTCACTTTGATTTGCATTTCAATGTATTTATTTTTTCCACATAACTGCAAATTAGAATAGAAACGGTATAAAATGCACATAAACATACTGACAGTTGTAGATACTGTACATTGTTATGGGTCAGTGATGCCAATATTTGGCACACATCTATCAATTTCCCCCTATCTGTTCTTTCTATGAATTAATTATGTAGAAGGTCTGTCCATGCCCGTTTCCTCGTTGGTTAGTAACGCTATATTTCATAGCACAACATTTAGTCTATGAGGCTTTTTGGCTGAGAAAAGAAAAATCACGTTTTAATTTGTTTTATGAGCTAAGCTGTTAAATGGTAAGCATATGAGGTGGCTAGGCTTTAGCTTCAATTTTAGCTGAAATTATTTTCTAATCGGTTGCGTGTTTTGTTGTGAATATACCCTTGTAGTGCATACTGCAGTCCTTTTTTTGTCTGGCTTTCTCAGATATCTCACCTGTTCGAAAACGACAAATTATAATGGCTAATTACATCCCTGGAAATGTCTGACACCAGTGCAAACATATTTTAATATACGTGCCAGGCACGAAAGTTTGCCAGGCATAACAACAGTAACTAAGGAGGGTAAAGCTTAGCGAAAGGTCAATTACAGCTGATAGGCACCGATATGTTAGCCTGTGCTGCAGGGCAGTGATTACAGCTGCTGGATTTACAACATGTCAATTCATCAACTTATACATAAAAAAATATGGCTGTTTAACTGGTAGAAATTAAGAGTAGACATCAGAGTGTATTTTACAAATAATAAACATTATGTTTTGCTAGTACTTATGTCTTCTTATATGACTGAAACTTAAAACAAATGTTATTTGCTTAAAATGACTGATAAATTGTGATTTATGACACGTGTCTTTACCTGGCTTAATGTCTATACAATCTCTAATGTTATAGATCATATTCACTATAGATAGTGTAAATAATATGCAATATTTTATTTAAATGTTAAATCTACGAGCTTTTTAGGTGCAAATTAGGAGCTTTTCACCACTTACTAACCTCCTGGAACCACCTGAAGCTGAGCACATTGACATTTTTTTTTTTCTTTTGAAACACCAGGAATGCAGCATATTTTAAGATCATATTCGATTTTGCAGCTAGTAAGATGTACATATGTACATCAATCCTACCATTTTATTTAGTTTTCATGCAGTAACACTACTGTATTGTGTTACCTTTGAGTGGTTCAAGGTACATCTCGCCATCTGGACTTATGTACGACGTTCCATCATCTCCATCCTTTCTGGGATCATTATCGTGCCACGCACTGCCCCCTATAACCACAGATGAGACAAGCAATACTAAAATGACACAGAACTCAAAGAATGCAGGTATTTGCTATCCAGGCTAATTAGAAGTATATGACTACATTTCTGGCAAAACTAGCTATATTTCCCAAAATTCGACTTACACTGGTCATTCCCTTACCTTATAGGGCTCTATTTTAATGATCTAGGCCCAGTCTAAAGCGCATGGTGCAAAAACATTAAGGGCACGTCTGAATCCACTATTTTAAAGATGGAAAAATACGCTCTGCACCCTGACGCATAGTCTAATAGGGATGTGCTTATTCTCTTAATGTATTATAGGTGTGTTTTGAGCATAACGTGCATTAAACCAATCAGAGTCTCTTCTCACATTCACTTTAAGAGTCAGTTGCGTCGTGCCATGGTGCATTTGCTATTTACATGATGGACTTTGTAAGTGGAAAAACTAAACGCTTCACTAGTGAGAAAACAGTTAAACAGACCATCTGCAGCTCAAGGATAAAAAGCAAACCTCCACCATTCGGCCTCTTTACTTTCTTTTTTCTTTATGTTTACTCATTACTCCTTTACTTTCTGTAAGAAAACAATGTTGTACGCACTACACTTAAGAAATCCATTAGCCTATATATTTATTTATTTTATATTTAAAATGTAGTATTTGGGCCAGATGTTAATGATTTACTTGTGGGCCATGTATGTTTGACCTATCTTGACCCACATTTAAAATATATTTTTATTATTATTTTTAAATAAAGGAAAAAAAAAATCTACCAATCAGTTCTCAGGAGAAAAAGCATGCCATAACACACCAAAATTGCAGTTATTCATGGGTTTATCAATTTCATTGCAGTCGTGAGCCACTAACACATCTGACCCAGTTCAGGCTCAGTTATTGGTTATTAACTTGGCAGAGACTTGGCCCAGATATGGTCCATGTTTTGCCCTTATCTGTAGGCCAGACTTGGTTCAGTTATGTACTGTAATTTACTGCAGCATGTGGGCCAAGCAAAGGCTGATTGTGTGGGCCAGAGCGAGGCCAGAGATATTTTGCTATGCGGGTGACAAAATGAAAGCTGGAAAAAAAAAATGGTGGCTTTTTTTATGAGGGCACCCTATGTTGTCTTACATTTAAAGGACACACTTTAAAACAGTGCTATAATTGGTTTCTAAATTAGAGGAAAAACAAAGATCCAAGTCTAACAACAACAAGCACAGTTTTTACCTTTTTGGACTTTAATACTCAAGGGTCTTGGAAATTGCACTGAGTTTTACATAAATGTGAGCAAGTTCACATTTTTCAATAAGCCACGGTTGGGAATTGAATGCAAAGATTGCTAACCTCTGTATCCTCCACCTCCTCCACCAGCTGTGCAGGCTCCTCCACCACCTCCGAAACCTCCACGTGTTTTCCATCCCATTGCTTGACAGGGTTCCCCACCTTGACCTCCCAAAATAAGTGGTCTGCCACCTTGAGGAACAGGTGCACTGTCATTCCAACCTCCACCACCCCCTGAAATAAAGAGAGCCACACAAATGCATCATAAAAAAATGACACAGAAAGAATCTTGTGCCCCATTTCACGTTCTTTCTGTGTGGCTAATTAATTTCACAACAGGTGATGATGTGTGTATATTTTGTCTGCTTCCCCTCCATCAGTCAACAGATCTAAGTATGCAGAGTGGCACAGAGATGTCTCCAGGGAAAATAGCCTCATGTGAACATCCCTGTTCTTCTAAAGCAGGTCAGTGCTGTTGCTCAGCATGGAAAGTTCAAATAAAAAATGTTGCAAATTATTTCAGACGTCAATGCTGTCCCATTTTGCCAACTCTCGGCTGATTTCTTAGCAGCTGCATTTGATTTTCTTTAAATAAAGTATATAAATAAATGTAAAAAATCCAGTCAGGTCATTGAGATTGAGGAACACGTTTTGAAGGATATTGAAGAATGTCTTAAATGATTCCTGATTAGTTGGCTGGCTGGCTGGCTGATTGATTGATTGATTGATTGATTGATTAATTGATTGACTAATCAATTGATTGGGCAATTAATTAATTGAATGGTTGGTTGATTCATTGGTTGATTGATTGGTCATCATTACTAGGTGATTGCTAATGAGTTATTAGGCAAGTTACAATGTAGAATTTGTTAAAGCCACTACATAGATCACAGGTCCTGGAGGGCCAACTGCATCTTTTTGTTCCAACCCTAATTAAAGACACAGGATCGAACAAATTAAAACCTTCAGAATTGATTGAAACCTACAGGTAAATGTGTTGTAACAGAGTTGGAAGTAAACTGTGCAGGGCTTTGGCCCTTCAGGAACTGAGTTTGACACCCTTTACATAGATGAACAGGAGAATAGATGACTAGACTTAACAATATCTCAAGTGGAATTGGAATGTATTGTGGAATATATTCAGCATATCAACCATGTGCAGAAGTAGAGTAGTGGTATGGAATGCTGCAAAGAACTCAGTGTCACATGAGTCACTTCATTTTTATACAAATGTCACAATGAAGGATGATCTACTGAAGAGCAGCTACACCAGTCCTGACTAGGCAAGCCAGCGGTGACAGTGGAAAGGAACCAACATTCTACCAATTGATAGAAATGGAGAACAAACCTTGGGAGAACCCAGGTTTATTTAGGGGACTTTTTATCCTCTGTGCCTATGGATAGAGGCAGAACTGCAGTCGGTGGCCTTGACAATGATGAGGGCCAGTTTTGGCAAAGATGCTATAGGTCGCAGACTGAAATTACATCTACTGCAGTTGAAAGGGATCTATGTAAAGGCCCATTTCACGCTGAACTAACCAATTTGCTAGGGTATTTGGATGGTTGTCCCTGTGTTATGCATTTGATAAGGTGTTCCAGTTGGTTGCAATGACAGTAATTTAGTGTTTAGAGTTGTTCACATTACAAAAAGGTTCAAGAAACCCTTGAGTACTTAATTGTTTGAGATTTTAACAGATTTGTGTGTGTTGAGCCTCAATTAAGACAATTTTAGCATCTGTTGGCTTTGATTGTGGGCAAAATGGATAATTTTGAGCTTTTGTCAGCTAATTTTATCTTCTGGGTTTAAAAAGATTTTTGGGGCTGGATCAAAATTGGTGATGTAGCGCAAAACTGCAAGTGGAGTGATTAGGCATCAGTTTCTCATTATTATTCATAGCGGAGTTTTCTTATCCTATGAGAAGAGCTCTTAATTATTCATGACTGCGCATGCTTTCCAAGGCAAGACAGACCTGCCAGTGCCAAGATGTGTGACCCTATGTTGGTCATTTGGTGAGACTGCATCCACGGACCCAAGGCACATATTTAGCTGTTCATGAAGGGTCGTATGTGTTTGTTTCCATGATCCAGTTTGTTGAATGTTTTTCCCCAGAATGCTGTCAGGGCCGGTGGACCAGCCTATGGTGGACTTTTATCACTTAAGTTTGTTCACATTTAAACACATCGCGGCGCTTCTGCAATTGCCTAAATCCTCTAGATTAGCAGCAGGGCTAATGGTTAAAATTGACAGGGCAAGAGACCTGCTGCACTGAGTCAGCATTCAGACCCGGGGATTGAGGGAGAAGTCCTCATTTATAGTGTTTATATGAACACGATTATCTATATAATTATATAAATTGTGGTTGTGTGTATATGAAATTACGAATAACAAATGAAGCAGGGCATTAAATTACTGTTTATTTCTCCTCACGGTTTGTGTCTCATTTTGTGAGCTAACTGACAACAGTTGTTCGCTCCCCTCCTTCTCCCTTGCATTGCTTGCCACGCCCACTCCTGCCTCTGCTCGCAGAGCTCCACGCCCATTATCATGCATTTTTAAAAAAAAATTCAGAGCTGGCCTTGAACTGATAGTGGGCGGTTTCATGGCCATTTAAAAAGCAAACTATAATGGTAAAACTTACTGTGCCTTTAGTGACTTTTTGTGCTGTGCCAACTGTGTATACCCTGTTCTCTGTTCACTGGCACTATAAGAGTCATAAATTGTGGAAAATGTTATCTAACTTTAATATTCATTATGTTTTAATGCATCCCTGCAAGAAAGCGAAATTATGTGATGGGGTCTTGGACTAAAACAAAAATATTCAACCCAGGCTCATTCTGAAAACGTACTGAGTTTCTGGAGAGCCCCAAATATGTCCCAGGAGATCCGTTTTTTTTCCAGTTTTTGTTTTCACGAATCCACCATACGCCGCTGTGTACTGTTTTTGAGATCTCAAATTTCTCTCGTGAATGCCATTCACGTTTGCTGTTCTTGCGTAAATCCACCAGAGGCTTATGTCAACTGAATGACTGATCGATCGACTGACCCACCTTTCTTCCTCCCTAAACCCAAACAATAGTGTTTTCAAAAGCACTGATTGACCACCAACTTCCCTAAACCCAACCGACAGTTTTAAAAAGCAATCCAGAAAGAGTAAAGCCCTCACCTGATTTTTACCACGTTTTCGGATTTTACCATATTATCACCCTGCTATTTTTTTGTTTATTTTATTTTTGGGCTTCTGTGTCTTAAGTCCGCCTACGTGTATGACATGCTAACTAGACAAAGTGTTAACAGCAGGGAAAAGCTGTCCACATGGAAGTAATCGGTCAGCTGGTAAGCACGAAAAGAAACGCCAGCATACCACCCGTATTGTTCATTTTAAAAACGAAATGTAGTCCTACGTTCTTCTGTCTACATAATTCACGATCTCCAGAAATATATATAGGCCCACATTTTCAGAATGAGCCTATGTTGAAAATATTCCAATCAGAAAATGTTCATATGTTGTAAAAAAAAATAAAAACTCTAAACCTCAAGATGAAGTGTGATTAATATGGATCAATAACTCGTACAAGTGAGTCAAGTTTCTAATTCGTTAATGCCCTGATGGAAATGATGGAAACATATGACTAGAATTTGTAGTGAAAGATTTTGTGCTAGGCTCTCGGACCCCTGAAGCAGTAAATAGAGCTCAGTGGGGGATCTGGCCTTTGAAAAGAGCGTCACTGATAGAAGCCATACTGACTGCTCGACAGGAGACCCACAGTCACCCACAACACATGCACAGGCAATTGCGCATTCAATTGCTAAGACTTAAAAACAGGGCACATATATCATTTCCGCTATTACTGTAATGTTTTATTACAGTCCAATCAGTTGTATGACCTTTTTTTAAAGGATCTGAGGAATATCTAATATTCCAGAACTAATTTGAAGGCTCAATCTCTTTCTGGAATTGCTAGAGGCATTTTGAAGAAACCACCTCAAAAAAAAAAAAAAAATCATATTCAATCTCAGACTAGATAAAGGGCTATGTTAATGCATAGGCAGAAAGAGAAAATTATTATGTGCATGCCTAGAAAAGAAAAAGAAATAGCTTGTGGGAGCAGTTTATTTATTTATTTATTCATTTTGTTTTCCATCAATCAAATCTGATATTCTGGTGAAGAAATACATAGTTCCAGCTATAGACATAAAGCTAAGCAATAACGATGCGGCTCTATGTGCAATGCTTTCTGATTTAACGCCATTGTGAGCTGTCTGTTGCAAAGAGTAACCTTAGACTAGTAGATATCATGCTGGAATTAATCAAGATTATTCATGGAGGCAATTTGCATTTAGTTAAAGATTTTTTTTTTTTTTTGAGGGCAAAGCAGTTTCCGCTGATACTGTTTTATCATATAATGTTTTATAATGCAATTTGTTTTATAGAATTGATTCAATCAGAGGGTGACATGGTACCTCAGTGGTTAGCACTGTTGCCTCACAGCAAGAAAGTCGCTAGTTTGTGTCCCGGTTGGGTCAGTTGGCATTTCTGTGTGGAGTTTGCATGTTCTCCCAGTGTTGGTGTAGGTTTCCTCTAGGTGCTCCGGTTTCCCCCACAGTCCAAAGACATGCGCTATAGCTGAACTGAAAAGACTAAATTGGTCATAGTGTATGTGTGAGAATGAGTGTGTATGGATGTTTCCCTGTACTGGGTTGCAACTGGAAGGGTATCTGCTCCGTAAAACATATGCTCGATACGTTAGCGGTTTATTCCGCTGTGGTGTTCCCAGATGATTAAAGAAACTAAACCGAAGGAAAATTAATAAATTAATAATTAAATTAGCATTTTTGTTAGGTTACCTGCAGTTCCTGATTTTCCATTGCGGCCAGGGATGCTAGGATCCCTGTCCATTACTTCCTCTGGGGTTTCTGATTGGCTGCTGTATCCACGGCCTCCACCTCCAGCAGCAATCAGTAGTGGAATGTGGACTCCATTCACCACCTGCAGTGAACAGGAATAACTTCTTATTGTCAATGAACAAAATGTGAGAGACGCACGCTGATACCACAACCTTGCTGTGTTTTAATGTGTGTAATTATGTAATTAATAATGTTTAATATATTTCTATGTAGTGTCACCTTGAAGACGTAGGTGCCTCCCCCTCCACCACCACCACCTCCCTTGAGCTGGGTTTTATTGATAGAGGGCCCTTGCTGTTCTCTGCAGATGCGGTCCATAGTAGGTACCATCTATGACAGGTAAGATAAGATGAAGTAAAATGCAATGCAATACAAGAACATTAAATAATAAAAAAAAAAAATAATAATAATAATAATAATAATAAGAAGAAGAAGAAGAAGAAGAAGAAGAAGATTTAATTACAAAAACAAATTAGAAAATTACTTATTAAAAAAAAACAAGCAAAAAAATCTAATAAAACAAACAAAAGCAATTATTATTAATATATATTTTTTAGTATTGTTAAATCATATGTTCTTTTTGTGTGATTTAAATTTTCTTAGTTTCTCTGGTGTTTCCCACATAATCCAGTTTAGAGTAAACATTGGTTGTGAGGATGGAATGAAAATAATAATAAAACAAAAACATCTTTCCATCGAATAATATAATCCAATATTATTATCACTACATTTTGTCACAAATTTTATTTAACTCTTTCCCTTTTTTCTGTTTGTTACCTTCCTTCCAACCCCATAGAAAAGAAGTGGATCATAACAATTGGGGGCTCGTCCGGGATATGAACCCAGGATCTCTTCCATTTATATGGGCAGAATCATGCCCGACTAATAGAATAACACACCCCAATACACTAGTATTACACATTTTATTGTTTATACAACAACAAAGAAAGATATTTGTTGAAAAATAAGATGAAATGAGATTTACCCTTAAACTGCCGCTTTAACAAATGGTTCACCATGTTTTTACTCTTTTAAATATTAACTGTTAAAATCATTTAAAGAATGACTGTTTTAAATAATGGCTTACACAAACAGCATTGTTGGTTTACTGAAATTTAAAAAAAAAAAAAAAAAAACATCCTGTTGCAGTACTACATTTGAAAAAAAAATAAAAAAAATAAAACAACAACAACAAAACATGTTAAATGAAAATTTAAAAAAAATTATGGCATACTTTAAAAAAATAAAGGTGATTTAGTGTTTAAAATATTTTATTTTGAATATATATATATATATATATATATATATATATATATATATATGTATATATATAGGTGGGCAGTTAAAGGGTTAATACATCAACATAAACAAATGAATAAATAAATAAATAAATAATTTAATTAATTCCACACTTTTTTTATTATTTCTCATACTCATTTATGTAAACCAAAAAACTTAACAGAAACAAAACAAACAACAAAATGACAAATGCTAAATACCAACCACAGCAAATAAAAATACAACAAATAAAAATAAATAAATAAATAAATAAATAAATAAATAAATAAATAAATAAATAAATAAATAAATAAATAAATAAATAAATAAACAAACACACATACTAACACAAACAAATAAACTTTAAAAAGCTTTATTTCTTCCAATTAGTATTGCTCACATTAGGGCAAGCATCCTCTCCTTCCTGTCCCACAAGAATATAGAGCAACTCGTCCTTCTGTAACAGGAAGTCTCCGGTCATGTACACCCCATGTGACTTGTGAACCGCCAGAACACTGCGTCCACCAGCTGCTCCATATGCCGTGATCCTAAACCCATGACAAAGAAGTAAGCAAACATTAAACAGATGCTCTCATTGAAAGTAATTATAGTGCACTTATATACTTCTCTTGGAGTGACCCGGGGTTAAGTGCCTATCTCAAGAGCACAATGCCAATGACTCTTAACTTATTTCTACAGGGATTAAACCAGCAATCTTTTAATTTCCACAATATCATTGAACTGAATGACACGAAAGCCCCATGCCTGTTGTTTAATGCCTACATAAACACTCTAACTGAGATAATTGGTAACACTTACATTTGGTAACACTCACAATTGGCCGTTTTTTTTCTGAATAGCAATAAAAACACCAGTCTGAATTTCTAAAATGGCATTTTAATATGAAAATGCTTTAACGTAAATGACAGGTGAAACTTTATAAGCTCTGTTTACGGGGCTGGCGGTTCATTCCGCTGTAGTGACCCCAAATTAATAAAGGGACTAAGCCGAAAAGAAAATTAATGAAAGAATGTTTATGGGGCTCTGTGAGTAAATTAATTAAAGACAACAGACGTTGTATTTGATCATTCATTCATTTTTGACCTATTTTTTTTTCGGGGCTTGGTCGCAGGGGCAGCAGTCTTACGCCCTATTCACATGGGGCTTCAGCGTTAACGCTTGACTGAAGGCGTGTCTGAAGTCTGAAGTTACTGAAGTTGCATACAGCGATCTGATTGGCTGACGCTTCCGTTGGTGCTTGAAAAGTTGAGCTAGTCCCAACTTCTGCAGCGAGCAACGCTTCTGAAGCGATGCCGACGGATCCACAATGCAGTTCGGCAACACCTGACGTCACCCATTCAAAGTGAATGGGAAGCGTTGACGCTGACGCCCCGTGTGAATAGGGCGTTAGGAGAGAACCCCAGAATTTCCTCTCCCCAGACATCTTCACCAGCTCCTCCGGGGGGATCCTGAGGCGTTCCCAGGCCAGCCGAGGGACATAATTCCTTCAGCGTTCCTGGGTTTTCCCTGAGGCCTCCTCCCGGTGGGACATGCCTGGAACACCTCCCTAGGTGACATCCAGGATGCATCTGAAATGTAGGATGCCTGAGCCACCTCAGCTGACTTCTCTCGATGTGAAGGAACAGCGACTCTATTCCGAGCTCCTCCCACGTGACAGAGCTCCTCACTCTATCTATAAGGGTGCACCCTGCCACCCTGCAAAGGAAACTAATTTCAGCTGTTTGTATCCGAGATGTTGTCCTTTCGGTCATGGCCTAAAGCTCGTGACCATAGGTGAGAGCAGGAATGTAGAAAAGCAAGAAAATTCAAGAGCTTTGCTTTTTCGGCTCAGCTTCTTCTTTACCACAATGGACCAGTACATCGACCGCATTACTGCTGCCGCTGCATCAATCTGCCTGTCAATTTTAATTTTTGTAAACAAAACCCCAAGATCCTTGGGGATACCTGGGGTAAGGATTTTCTTCCAACCTGGAGATGGCAAACCACCTTTTTCTGGTGGAGCATCTTTTCTATACGACGCTTATCACTGAAGCAATAAAGAATAATTTAAATAGCTTTTACTTTACAATGGTAGAGAAAGACCAAAAAAAAAAAAAATAAAAAAATAAATATATATATATATATATATATATATATATTAAGCAATCATATGTGCTTTAATAAGCAAATCAGCACATTTTAATGTATAGGGCTTTAAATAATTATTAAAAAATAAATATTTACAATGTGTTAAAAAGCGGAAACTTCCAGCTTGTGGAAAATATGATATACAAATAAATTTGGCTTGCAAACCTCTCTCATTTGCCAGACATTCAAATAGTTTTACGCATGCTTTCAGAAATCTAATAAGCCATCTTGTTTGAACTGTTTGAGCGAAATTGTCTTGCTGTTATTCTCGTCCCCCAAAGATGCTACTTACAATGCTGTTTCAGCATTTGATCAAATAAGATATATCAGAGGATGACACATTACTTCCTTTCGAAATCCCCTTTGGGTCAGGATCGTCTATACAATGCATTCTAGGTAAAAAAAAATGAAAAAGTGGAGAGTTTTCTTTACAGACTTTGCTAAGTGAATGCTATTATCAGTCTGGATACTACCCCAGCAATGCAGCTGATGACTGTGGAAATGTGTTTTTTTCTCATTCCTCCAGCTCCACAGACAACAATTACCTGAATGACCTGACAGGGTTGATAACAGCCAGCAATTGTGTCGAAGAAGAATGCTTTCCTATTTCATGCTCGAAAAACTAACAGCTAAACTCCTGGAGGATATTGCAGCTGGTGGTGGTCAGGACATAATGTGACTGTACAGTATGTGTGTGTGATTTTTTATTGTTGTTTACAAGGACACACAACTGTATAATGATATGGGTTTGACCTACTATAGTTTATTATGTTTGTAGATAAGGAAGGGCGGCATGGTGGCTCAGTGGTTAACACTGTCACCTCAGACCCAGAAGGTGCTTTGGTTTCCCCCACAGTCCAAAGACATTCAGAAGTAGTGAATTGAATAAACTAAATTTGCCGTAGTGTACTATATGTGTGTGAATGTAAGAGTGCATGGTTATTTCCCAGTTTTGGGATGCAGCTGGAAGGTCGTGCACTGTGTAAAACATATGCTGGATAAGTTGGTGGTTCATTCTGTTGTGGTGTCTCCTGATGAATAATGGGACTAAGCTGAAGGAAAAGGAATCATTACAAGTACATGCCTCGTGTCCTTGTAATTCAAAATGCTTAAAAATCTTAATTAACAGTGTCTTTTGACATTCACAGTTTACCATGTTTCCTGTGAGGGATAGGTTTATGGGTAGAGGTAGAGTAGGGCCATAAAATAAGTGTTTTTTTTTTTTTTTTTTTTTTTTACATTATAATATAGATTAAGTCTATGGAGAGTCCTCATTAACCGTGTGTGAACCTGAAGCTTCAATGCATGTACCACGCATTTGACCTTTTTTTAGCGATGCCCCATATCAGAGCGTGCACTTGTTACTGCTTAATCAAACTACTTATACAAATGAGCTGAAACAATACAGTTCTGTTATGTTTTGTTAGGACAACTTAATTGTTTTATGTTTAATCCTCTTAAATTAGTAAAAACTGATCAGATTAAGGGCGAGGCAGTGGCGCTGTAGGTAGTGCTGTCGCCTCACAGCAAGAAGGTCGCTGGGTCGCTTGTTCGAACCTCGGCTCAGTTGGCGTTTCTGTGTGGAGTTTACATGTTCTCCCTGCCTTCGCTCTGGTTTCCCCAACAGTCCAAAGACATGCGGTACAGGTGAATTGGGTAGGCTTAATTGTCCGTAGTGTATGAGTGTGTGTGGATGTTTCCCAGAGATGGGTTGGGGCTGGAAGGGCATCCACTGCGTAAAAACTTGCTGGATAAGTTGGCGGTTCATTCCGCTGTGGCTTAATAAAGGGACTAAGCCGACAATAAAATGAATGAATGATTAGATTAAATTAAACGATTTGTTTTGGGACAACATGAAGATTTTGTGTGGAACACAATTTTTTTTACAGTGTGTACTTTACAGTGAGTTATTTAATAAACGATAGTGTGTAATGCTTTTAGGTTGGAAGTGTGGTGCAGTGGGTAATGAGTGGGTTTCCTCCTGGGTGCTCCAGATTCCCCCACAGTCCCAAAACATGTGCTATAGGTGAATTGGATGAGCTAAATTGTCTGTAGTGTGTGTGTGTGTGTGTGTGTGTGTGTGTGTGTGTGTGTGTGTGTGTGTGTGTGTGTGTGTGTGTGTGTGTGTGTGTGTGTTTGTGTGTGTTTGTGTGTGTGTGAGTGTGTGTGTGTGTGTGTGTGTGTGTGTGTGTGTGTGTGTGTGTGTGTGTGTGTGTGTGTGTTTGTGTGTGAGTGTGTGTGTGTGTGTGTGTGTGTGTGTGTGTGTGTGTGTGTGTGTGTGTGTCCTGGTCCTCCAGGTTGGGGGTTGAGCGTCGGGCTAACGACCCACCTCGTAAAAATTATGTTACGAAACACTAACATTATGCGCCCTATATATCAACTTCGATTTAAACGGCCCTGGGAGTAAGTGTAATGCTGTGTTCACTTGAGTGGCAGAACACGCAGATAAATTGCGCTATTCGCGCGTAAATAGCCGCGTGAACATTTGAGTTAACTCGCTTCATTCGCACGTCAAACCCTGCTTCATTCGCTTGTCAAATCCGCTTCATTCAAGCGTCAAATTTACTTCAGAACATACCCAGATGGACAGGGCTTCTGTCTGCCCGGTGACTGTCTAGCTTTATTGTGTAATGGCTAACATGGATTTTATTAAGAAAAAAATTTTTTATGTGCTTTATGAAGGCTGAAAAACTGTGTCGATATGTTTATGGTCGTGTCTGAGTCCACTAGATCGTTTCAGAGGTGCATCCAGCTCTGTGAGCTCATAATTTCCTCCAGAAACTTAACCTGCATGATGGAGGCTTTCAGTGGTGCTTCTGAATGAGCTGAGCCCAGTTTGATGAACTGTTGTTGGTGTCGGCTGGTCACAATCACGCCCCTACAAGAGCAAGCTCCTGATTGGTTAATGCGGGGCGAATGTACGCTTAAGGTCAGATTTTTAAATCTGGAGTGATTCGTGCAAAACGCATGTTAAGTTCGTCAAATGCTCATGTCGTGCCATTCACGCCGCGCCATTTGCACAATTTGTGTCATTGGCGTGTTTCGCCCCGCAGGATGCCTATTCATGGGTTTTCATTGACTTAACGTGTAAATCACTCACGCCTGATGCTTCTTCCTCGTTTGGTGTGAACACAGCATAAGGTTTTTTTTAGTACTCTTTACAGTTTATATATTTTGAATAAGCACTAGATGGTGCTATTTTGGACACTCACTTGGCTTTAAATCTTTTTACAGTAAGTAGAAAGCCGCAGTGCACAGGGCTTTATTTTCAAATCCCTTGTGCTGTGTGTGTGTGTGTGCGTGTGTGTGTGTGTGTGCGTGTGTGTGTGTGTGTGTGTGTGTGTGTGTGTGTGTGTGTGTCTGTGTGTGCGTGTGTCTGTGTGTGCGTGTGCGTGTTTGTGACATGACAGGACACAGATTTGTGCTATCAACAAGGAAATGGTGAATTACGAAAACATTGCTGATGTCCCATTTTTTGTCACCTCACTTACTCACTTATGTGGTGAAATATCAAAATAACCGCCTAGTGAGGACATTTCTGATAGATTTTTTTTTTATTTTATTGTTTTTAGCATCTAAAGATATGCACTTGTTTATGTGAGGCCTTGTTTGGGGTAAGGGTGGGCTTTTTTTTCTCCATAGACACCATCTTTAACCAGGGGTCCGTTCTTCGTACCTCGCTTAAATATTCTAAGATTATTTGGAAGATCCTGGATCTTTTAATCTTGATAACTGATCTCTTGCTAATTTGTTTCTTCAAACAAGTTCGCGAATCAGACTAGAATGTCTAAATAAACTGATCTGAGATCGCTGTGTGTGTTGTGAAGGACAGATCTATCAATCCTCGAAATCATGATCAGCAATGCAACGATTGGCTAACGGCACAGTAGCGTAATGACATCATCTGATTAATATTCAATTATCCATGTGAGCAAAATTACATCAAATTAGCAGTAAACGGTTTGTTAAATATGACACGCAATAACCTTCCACATTTGTTGTGAGCTGCAGGCTTTACACTTTCATGTGTCAAGTGTGTTCATCATGTATTTAAATGCAAATCAATGTATTTAGTTCCACATTTACAAAATATTTTCTTTATTATAGTAGCCGTTTTTTTAATCTGTGTAATGAATAACTGGTTGTTTACAAAAGCATTTTCATATTGGTAAAGGCGTCTGCAACTTTTGTGAAGCATCAAATCACTGGCATATTAACTGTCAAAACATGTTTATGACTGCATAAATGTATTATTGCTTTTAAAAAAAGTCACATAATTGTGCATTTCTGTTATAAACAATTTGTACTAAAGCGATCTAAAAAGTTCATATCAATAAGTTTTCTCTTTGCACCACCAGGTGGCAGTCTTTGTACTTTCATTTCGAGGGTGCAGATTGCATACGTTTTAATAATATGTATAACTTAATTTATTTTATTAATGACTATAACTTTATATATATAGTTAAAAATATGTACCATTTTCCCAAGTGTATATAACTACTACTGTAAGAAAATATCAGAATTGGGAACATACTTTCTCTATTATCTTTGCTTGAACTAAGCCAATCTAATCCTGTTTATATGAATTGAACCTGCTCCCGATCAGGTTTGACCTAGCAGAACTGTTGCTATGACAACAACTCTCGAATCAGCTTTGAAGAACGAAACGATCCTGGATCGTGTCAAATCGTCAATTTCCAAATCCAGCTAACTGAGTAATCCACCTACGAAGAACGGACCCCTGATAGAAAAAAACAAACAAACAAACAAACAAACAACAACAACATTAATGTCCTCACAAAGATAGTGAAACAAACCTGTGTGTGTATGTGAACTGGTTTTTAGTGGTTTACAAGCACCGTTCGACATGAGTATAGCAACTTAGGCTTTTGTAAGAGCCATTTTGTATTCTTTTTTTGTTGTAATACTTTGTTTGGCCACAGGGTGGAGTGCAGCTTCAAACCACACACAGGCATCCAGGAAGAGTGACACAGGTGTGCAATTAAGGAAAGCACACCGCGTGTGCTGTGATGTGGAGGTTTGTGAGTACTCCAAAGGAGCATGGATAACCATTCTATGGGGTTCGTGATGCAATGGAACTGTGAGTAAAATATGCATCTGAACAAACTGTATGATTAATAAACCCAGAAAAGATGTAAACATCCTTATTGTTTGGACTTCATACATCAGAAACACCCACTGTAACACGTTATTTTGATGGTCCATTTGAATATTAGTAGACTGTCTGCTTATTATCTGCTGATTCTGCTCCTTCAACAGATATTTATCTGACTATAAGAAACTTTGCAAGTGCAATTCACACTAACCACAACCCTAACACTAACCCTAAGCTAAAAGTCTATGTATAATCTAATGAGAATTAGTGAGCATGTAGATGCAATGGAACTTAATTCAACAAATGGACCATCAAAATAAAGTGTGCCAACATCCCCTCAAGTGTCAATACTGGTTTTTATATCTCTACAACGCCATTATGTATGATATACTTATAATTCAGAGTGCTTAAATCCTATTAATGGAGCGTATTAACATTCAAATGTTGATACCGGTTTCCTGTGAGGGTTGTGTTTCAGTGTAAGGCCATATAATTACCTGCTTCTATTGTTATCACTCGATTGAATTGGCATTATCAGTGGTTATCACCTTACCTAGTATCTACCTAGTAGGCTCAGAATATTGTCATTATCATAGAGGTAAAGTTGGTTTTATATTCGGATATTCACACATTCCCCTCAATAATATAATTTTAGAAAACATATTCTTTGCAAATTCTAAATAGGGGAATCATATTAGCAGCCAATGACTATCAAAGTACACCGTTGTTCACAGTGAATTAGATAATGTTAATGTTGTTTAGAGGTCACACTTGCATGCTAATTATGATAAAATATCCAAAGTAACATGGTAAACAGTATTAGAACTTCTAAATGAACGAATGTGTGAATATAAAACCAACTTTACCTCTATGTTATTATCCATCCACATGGTTAATCAGCTATATTAATAGAGAAGGCTTCAGATACAGAACTGTTTTTACATTACTGTGACGATTGGGTTTAGAGTTGGGGTAGACGTTGATAAAATACAATTAATGGGAAATTTAATAAATATTATAAATAATTCCCATTAACTTCCGACCGCGCCGTAAGCAATCTATAGCTGATTAACCATGTGGATGGATGATAACAACTTTTGAGCCTACCATTAGATGCAGAAGGTCCCTACTGGCCTATGCCATACGCTGATAACCACTGATAACACCTTTTTAATAGTGATAATTTTAGAATGTGCTAATATTCATTCATTTTCTTTTCGGCTTAGTTCCTTTATTAATTTGCTGTCGCCACAGCGGAATGAACCACTAACTTATCCAGTACATGTTTTACGCAGCGGATGCCCTTCCAGCTGCAACTTATCTCTGGGAAACACCTATACACACTCATTCACACTCGCACACTACAGACAATTTAGCCTACCCAATATACCTATACCGCATGTCTTTGGACTGTGGGGGAAACCGGAGCACCTGGAGGAAACCCACGCAAATGCGGGGAGAACATGCAAACTTCACATAGAAGCAGCAACTGACCCAGCCGAGGTTCGAACCAGCAACCTTCCTGCTGTGAGGCGACAGCACTACCTACTCCGCCACCGTGTTGCCAATCGGCTAATATAATAACCCATTTTAACTGTATGAAATGCATTAAGCCTATGGAGAGTTCTCATAAACCACACATAACAAGATGTGTGTGTACCTGTATTTCCTTGTCTCTGGAACCTGCCACATTTGGATCCCCTTGAATGGCCCCTTAGTGCCTACTGTGACGTTAACATTGGTGTTGCGGTAGGAGTTACTGCACTGGGTTGGTGTTGGGCCATCTTGTCCTGTCGCTCCACAGGTGTGAAATATCCACTTGACAGCTGCAAACACACACAAAACCCCAGATACACCAAACGTACCATTAGCTTTGTAAAAAATATATATAAGAATAGTTCTGAGAAGGAATGTAGGATAGTGGATTGGTTTAGTACACACACTCTATACTCTTTCTGAAGGTGAAAATAGAAGATGTGCTGTGCTGTGGGTTTGGCTGACTGGGCTGTCAAAAAGCCACAGGCAATTTGTTTTTTCGTCTTCGATGGAAACCTGTTGAATGTCTTGCACAGACCTGAAAATACTCGGCTAAGAGTTCTTTCATTGCTAAATGTCAAATGCACTTATTCATGAGAGGGATAAGGCTCTGACGGAGTTCACTTCACTGGTACTGACAGGATTCCGATAAGATGTATACTAGACTCACATCATCCAAAACACTGACGTAAATGCGGGGATAATAAATGTTAAAGTGCATTACAGGTGTGTTGCAGCAGATTTCATTTTTCTGACATTTTTTATCGGCTTAATGTCAGGAGCTAGTGCAGAGACTTGAAGGGAGATTCAGGTCATTCATGAGTTGTTTATTAGCTTTGCTTATGGCTCCAAGTATGTTGGTCAAAGACATGACACTGACTTCGTTTTCATGGATATCAGTGATTAAATTATGTGCCTTAATTTGAATAAGACAATAGCTATGTACATCATTACAAACGTTTAAGAAACGTAGTCACGACTGCTTACTCTCATACACTTACTCTAAACTGGCATTTTATTTTGTAGTTAAAGGGATATTCCAGACCAAAATGAAAACTATGCTATCATGTAGGCCCAATCCCTTACCGCTACCCCCTGTTTCCGTGAAATGGTAGGGGTGTCCCAATTCTCTTTAGCTTGAAAGTGTAGGGCTAAGGAAAAGGGGTGAATACCCCTTCGAATTAAGATTTTTCAGGACCACACTCTAAACCAAGGGGTAAGAAAATTTCCCACAACAACGACAGAATAATTGCACGCAGAAGTAAGGAGATCCACAAATTAGTATTTTTTGTCAATATTACGAATTTTTACAACAAACAAGCTCATGTTTTAATGTATTCATAATCCATTTAGTGTTTTACCGTCATGCTTAAAAAAACAAAAACGCTTGCTTAAAACCACAAAATTTTGCGATCTGTAATCCATTATCACAAATCATGTACAGCAGTCCCACAACATTCTGACACTCAATGACACTGGAATACCCTGTCAGTCTAGTGTCTGGGAATGGACTTTTTACAGTGTCTGCTATAATGTCAATGTTGTTTTTGGTGTGTTTACATGGATGAATATGGCCACTGCGTTAAATGCACAATATTACGATCTTATTGTCTCATTAGATCGTTATGATAACATAATATATGCCTTCAGTGATTCAGTGAATAAATACTAAAAAATAAGGCAGCTGTATTCCCTACAGCAGTCGCGATCGTCTAATCTCATATGAAGCAAGAGATCGCGAGGACATATAATGGCCTCTGCAGGTGCTGTAGTGCTATCCCAAATCTTAGGGGTAAATTTTAAAGCTCTTCCCCTTAAAACTCTGTTTTAAGGGCCAAGGGGGTAAGGATATAAAAATAGAATTGGGATTGGGCCTTACTCATCCTTAACTTGTTCCAAACCTGTTTAAGATTCTTTTATTATTGTTGAACACAAAATATTTTGAAAGAAGCTGAAAACCTTCGACCATTGACTTCCATAGTATTTGGTTTCCCTACCATTAAATCCCAATATTAGCAGGTTTTTACCATTCTATAAAATATCTCCATTGATGTTCAACCGAAAAAAGAAACTCCATGAAGGTTTGGAACCACCTGACAATGAGTAAATTGCAACTAAATTAGAATTTTTCTGAGTAAATTTCAATTTGTTAGCTTTAATATACCTTGAATTGTTCTTCCATTGTGCACTTTTAGTTTCTCACCAGGGTATATCAAAGTCTATCTTTACCTAAGAACAAATCAAATGACCTAATAGCTCTAAATGCATTTTATCCCATTTTGAAGTCCCTGATGAGAGTAGGATCAAGCTGAGAAAATCTCTTATGTATAAAAATACCAGCTACACAGAACAAATGGTTACCGCTTGAAGGAATCATTCTGATTCTGAAAACTCTAACCATAGACGTTTGACTTTCGAGATTGCAGGTCTCCTTTTGTGCAAATGAACCCAAATAAAACGTAAATCATTGCCGGGAACCTACAGAGAGCTGAAATTAGATCTGAAGGCTTGAGTTGTTGGAGAGGTTTTTGTGCCTGACAAATATCACAGATTATGGTCTTATACAACTTTCTTTTTATTACAGATCTTGACGCTTTGATTGGTGGAAACGGCTGAGTCATCGGAAAGCTGGGCAGTTGCACGCGGTGCATCATGAGGTTAGCAGCCCGTCTCTTTTTTCTCATCAGTGGAAGCAATCACGCAGACAAAGTCAGAGGAAGTAATCAAGTAGACAAAGGCCGAGGGAGCTGATCTGACAGAAGAACATGCTCCCTCTTTCCCAACGTTGAAGATTTGAGTCAGCGTAAGGCAAACTCCCTGATTCGACCGGGATTTACTTGCCAAAAAAAGGTGTCGTGGTTGAGAAAATCGATCAGGGATAGAGTGGGAAAGGGCAGGAGTAGAAAAGAGAACATTGAATTAGAGAGAGCGAGAGTGGGTGTGGAGGGATGACGGAAAATTGCAGTAGTTGCACAATTTATCAAAAACATCAAAACAGATTTCAAAGCCATATTAATTATCCATGACGGACTCTGAGGGAGATTGATGTGTGGCTTGATTTCCTTTTGAGTTTAAAGAAAGCCGCAGTCGGGAATAGAACTCCAGGAAGGTTTACTAGAGCGTTTGTGTTTAATTATTGAACTGTCTCGAGCGAGTCTGGACGGATCAAAAATGACAGGTTCAAGCTAGGTGGTGTAAGGCCAAAATATGTTGTGTGTTGTTGACTGTACTACTGTTGCTTCTCCACTGAAATTCACCATCACTAATCAACTTTTTTCAAATGTTGTCATGCAGCTTGCTGTGGTATTGTATCACTGCATTTTTTCTGGTATTGAAATCAGGGGTTAACATTGCAAAAGTGGCTCTGAACCCAATCCAGAGTCAATATTCAAAACACATTGATATCTGTGCTTATAAAATCGAATACAGAATACCTGTACAGAAGCTGATCTAGGATCAGTTTATCATACTGAGCGCATCCGTCGGTCAGAGCTTATATATGCATTCGCTGATTCAGAGGTTGCATTTGAAGGGCGATGATCAACGCACAGCTTTAATGGATAGGAAGTGAATGCAGACAATTTCAGTGTGCTTTCAAGATTTAAAAATATATGAGAAATATGGAAAAATACCTAATGATAGGATAATAGCAAGATAGAATGGTAAAATACTGGAGAATCCCGGCAAAAACCAGAGGGTTGACATGTATGAAGTGAACAGGAAGTGTTTGGAAACATCTATGCGAGGGAATGCAAAAACTTGCAAATATATATTTTCCTATTACTCTGTTTTTTTTTTTTCGACCCATTTTTTTGCCCACCATTACGTCCCTTCCAGGTTTACGTACAAATCATTTATATTAGCTGACTCTAAACAAATTATACATATACGTATACATATATACATACATACATACATGCATACATACATACATACACACATACATACATACACACACACACATATATATATATATATATACACACACACACACAGTGTATATATATATATATATATATATATATATATATATATATATATATATATATATATATATATATATTTATATATATATATATATATATATACACTCAATTATGGGTATATCTATTATGTGTAAAACAGCAATGTGGAAAATCGCGTGTATATTTTCCTTCTGGAGCATCAAACTTGTCTGAATAATCTCACAATTAAATACCAAATGACATTAAATAATCTGAGTAAATCAACCACTGTCATGTCACTATCACACACATTTAAAATTCACAAAACACTGTCTGGTTAGCTTATTGTGTCCTCTACTTTTATGCTAAAAGCACTAATGGCTCCAAGTCGGAGAACATCATCACCTGTCCCTTATACAGCAAGCAGATACACTATCCAGTCGAATAACAAAGCCCAGAAAAGAAAGCAGGACCAGATAAGCATATTTCATAACTGAAAAGATACAGACGGTTCAACATTTCACCCCACAAATACCTTCATATTATGAAAGAAATCATGTGTTCCTTAATCATACTCAATTATATTTTAATTATACAAATTACGCTGCCCCTTGGACCCAGTGTTGTACAATTACAACACTGATCATAATAGATTCTGAGCTTATGTCAAAGCATTCAGCAATATTTGAACAGCTGCATGATCTAGACATGTTACTAGTAACAAGGATTTTTTTACAACAATTTTACTTCAATATTGATTAATTTAATAAAACTTTTACTTTATTAATTAAGAGGCCTTAGCTCATACATTTACACCGAAATTACTCATTTGCCACAATCTACTTATGTAAATGCATGTTTTTAAAGTCTACTTATGCTTGATTAAATACCTGCATGAAACTACAACTTTAATTATGTTTTGTTTAGCTACATTTTTCAACACGGGCTCATTATGGATACGTACCCGGTATACATTTCTGTAGAGAGCGAAATGCGTTCCAGGAGCTATGTTTTTTTTTTTTAACTGGAGACCGCTGTGTATGCTTATTCAGATCTCAAATTTATCTCGCGATTGTCATTTTACTTTATGTTCTCATGTTTATCCACTAGTGGCTGATGTCGATTGACTGACTGATGGATTGACTGACTGACAGACCGAACGATACTCACCCCCTTCCATTAACCCAATCAATAGAGTTTTCTAAAGCAGCAGTGCCCATCCCCTTTCCTAAACCCAACTGACAGTGTTTTAAAAAAATCAATCCAGCAAACATGAAAAACCCTCATGGCTTAATTTTTACTACATTTTCAGATCTTACCACATTCTCACGCTGTTATTTACTATT